GGGGGGGCTGCATCTATGGGGGCTGCAGGAGGCGGCGGCGGGGCGAAGGCTGCTGCTGGCGGGGAGGAAAGGGGAAGCCCTCGCAAAACTTCGTCCCGGCCCTGGTTTGCATGGTGGGCAGTTGGCGCGCCCATGAGGACGGCCCCGCCCCCAACCGGGCAGGATCCACCCACCCGGCCAGCGTACGGAGCGCCATCGGTGGGCTGCCTAAAGTTGCTGGCGAGCCGGGCGTTCGCTGGGTTCGTGCATCCGGGAGAGGTGCCCCAGACACCTGCTCGGGACTCTGCAGTGTTCCCTCTAAGCTAAGTTAGTGTGAGCTAGCTCACAGTTTTTTAGCCTCCGGCTCACACATTTTTGTATTAGCTCAGGAAGGGAGGGCTCCAGAGCAAACTATTTTATGCAGCAGTCAAATTGCTCACTCCCAACTGTAATGGCAGCAGCTCACAAGGTAGAATTTATGCTCACAAGACTCCACAGCTTAGAGGGAACATTAGGGCTTTTCCTTTTGAAGCCTTTATTTCCTAGGATCTCCCTCCTCCCCCGCCCCCTTTTTTGAGCAGTTTGGCTTCATTTCTGGGGCTTTTTCCAGCAAGAAGAAGGGTGGCCGAACTCGCTCAACGTAAGAGCCACATAGAATAAATGGCAGAAGTTTGAGAGCTGCAAAGGCATGAGCAAGGATTCTGCAGGCGTTTCTATCGGAAAAAATACACACATTTAAAGGAGACGGCCAAAAATAAAAAAACAAAAGGGGTAAAAACAGATATTGATAAGGACATTTATTTGTCCAATGATATTTCTTTGCTAATAATATTTATTTGTCTAAGAGAGAGAGAGAGAATGAAAGAGGTGGAGAGAGAGAGAGAGAGAGCCCAAATAGGCGGGAGGGAGGGAGGGAAAGAAGAAAGGGGGAGAGAGACAAAGGAAAGTGGAAAGAAAGCAAATAGATGGGGGAGGGAGGGGAAGGGAGAGAGAGAGAGAGAAAGGGAGAGAGAAAAGTGGAAAGAAAGCAAATAGGTGGGGGAGGGAGGGGGAAAGAGAGAGAGAAAAACAAAGCAAATTTCAGCCACCCTGTCAAGAGCCCCACAATATGTGTGAAAGACCCACATGTGGCTCCCAAACACTTTGGTCACCTGAAAAGTACTGAGAACGTTGAGTGATTCCAGCAAGTACTTTTATTAAGCAAGAACAAGACGAGGACTGCCGGCTTGCAGGCCGGTATATATGTCCAGAAAACCCACCACCAAAACACACCCCTTACTTTACTATAGGCTATTTACAGTGGCCGAGAGTCCATAGGCTCTCAGCCGCGGACTTGGCCCTCTGATAGGTGCGGGCTAGGATCCGCTTGTCTATTGTTCTCTGTGGAGCGAAGCTCTGCTGTTCGGCTTGACCGCATGGCCCAACGGTCGCGCACGTGGCCATGGCGGAGTACATTACACCCCTCCCCCCATAGTCCAGACTACCTACACACATAGTCTTGGAGATATGCCGGGGCCATCCTGTTTCTTGTGGAACGTCGGAGCTTGGGAGTCGGGGTCGCGGAGGTTGCCTGGGGCCTTGGCGGGGAGCTCAGGGTTGGCCCTGCCGGCGACGGGGGTGGCGTGCTGTCTTGGAGCCGTGTGGCGAGGGGCCCAGGCTGGGGTGCCAGGATCGGTGGCTCGGGAGCTGGGGAGGGCGCTTCAGCCGATTCCGGGAATTCTAGATCCTCGGGATCATTGGGGAGGACCCTCCGCCGTAGTTGGTCAATGTGGCGGTGAAGCAGCTGCCCATCCTCACAGGAGACTTCGTCCGACTGGGGCCCTTGCACTCGGACCACTCGTGCGGGGATCCAGGGCGGCCCTTTGGCGTAGTTCCTCGCGTACACCAGATCCTCGGGGAAGAACCCTCGCACTGCCTCCGGTGCTTCTGTAGCTGGTTCTTCCTCGGGTGCTCGATCCGGGTGCAGCCGATCAAGCCAGGAGTTTAGGCGACGACCCAGCAGAAGCTCGGCTACACTGCGGCCCGTCTCTGTGTGCGGCGTGGTCCTCTGGCCGAAAAGGAATGCTGCTAATTTGTAGTCCCAATTGCGGCTCTCAAATAGGCGGAGCACCTCCTTGGTGGTGCGCACCATGCGCTCTGCTTGGCCATTCGTAGCTGGGTGAAAGGGAGCGGATCGGACGTGGCGGATCCCATAGTACTTAGTGAATTCTTGAAATTCACTCGAGGTGAAGGCCATTCCGGTGTCCGTAACCAACGTGTCTGGAATGCCCTGGGCGCTAAAGATGTGCCACATCGCTCGGATAGCCGCCTTAGGTGAGGTTGTCGGCACCGGCACCACCTCCAGCCACTTGCTGTAGGCGTTGACCAGTATAAAAAAGATCTGCCCCTGGAATGGCCCAGCGAAGTCCAAATGAAGCCAGGACCAGGGTTTGTGAGATGACTCCCAAGCCCTTGCAGGAGCTCGGGGCAGGTCCGGCTGTGAGGCCTGGCAGGGCTGGCATTGCTTTACTTGCCCCTCAATGTCTCGATCTAGGCCTGGCCACCACACGTAACTCCGGGCCAAGGCCTTCATCCGTACCACACCTGGATGGGCCTCGTGCAAGGCGGCTAGCACCCTGTCACGGAGTGGGGAGGGAATCCCCCCCCCCCACATCACACAACCTTTGTGTGCAGAAAGTTTGTCCTTGCGTGTGGCGAACACCAAAAACTCGGGACCCACTGCGGCCGCTGCCCCCCCTCTCACCCAGTCCAGGACGCGACAGAGGAGTGGATCCTTGGCGGTGCGACGGGCGACTTCCCTGACATGCACCGGCTGCTCAGGCAGCGACTCCAGGAGCGCGATCTGGTGGGCGGGAGCCGGGTCTGGATCCGTCGTGGGCAGAGGCAGGCGGCTCAGGGCGTCGGCGTGCCCCATCGCTTTCCCGGGCCTATGAAGGAGGAAGTAGCTGTAGCCCGCTAGGAAGATGGACCACCGAATCACCCTGGGCGAGGTCATCTGGGGGGTCTGGCGGTCCGGGGCGAACAACCCCAGGAGAGGCTTATGATCCGTTACAACGGTGAATGGCCAGCCGTACAGGCAATGGTGATATTTTTTCACCCCGGCCACTATCGCCAACGCCTCCTTATCTATTTGCGCGTAATTGCGCTCAGTTTCCATCAAGGTCCGGGAGTAGTACGCTACTGGAACCTCCTGACCGTCCGGCAGCTTGTGCCCCAGGACTGCCCCGACCCCATAAGGAGAGGCGTCGCACGCCAAGACGACCGTCAGATCCTCGTTGAAATGGTCGAGGACCGAGTTCGAGACGAGAAGGTCCTTCACTGCCTGGAACGCCGCCTTCTGCGCCGGTCCCCAGACCCATGGTGCGCCATTGTCCAGAAGTCGATGGAGGGGTTCTGCTACTGCTGCTTTTAAGGGAAGAAACGAGTGGTAAAAATTTAGGAGGCCTAAGAAGGCCTGAAGTTCAGTTTTAGAAGTGGGGGCTGGAGCGTTTGAGATCGCCGTCGTTTTCTCTGCCGTGGGATGGATGCCCTGTGCATCAACCACGAACCCCAGGAACTCCACTTTGGGGACTCCCAGCAGGCATTTATCTCGCTTTACCCTCAGCCCGGCTTGGTCGAAGCGTCGGAGAACGGTGCGGAGGCGGTCGGCGAAAGAGGCGGAGTCGGGGGCGGCGATCAACACATCATCTAAAAAGGGCTGTACTCCGGGGATACCTTTGAGGAGGGAATCCATGAAAGATTGAAAAATCCCCGGTGCCACAGAAACCCCGAACTGGAGCCGGTGGACCCTGAAAGCCCCCTTATGAGTGGCAATTGTCTGGGCTTCCACCGTGGCAGCGTCCACCGGCAACTGCTGGTATGCCTGCACCAAATCCAGCTTTCCGAAGATGCGGGTCCCTGCTAGTGCGGCCAGCACGTGGCTGACCACCGGTACGGGGTACGTGTGGTCTTGCAGTGCTTTGTTTAGAGTGCACTTATAGTCTGCACAGATCCTTACTTCCCCGTTTGGCTTAACCGGTGTGACTATAGGGGTTTCCCATCGGGCGGACGCTACCGGCTCCAGCACTCCTTGTGCCACCAGCCGGTCCAGTTCCGCCTCGATCTTCGGTCTCATCGCGATGGGGGGATGCCGGGCCTTGATCCAGATGGGGCGGACCGCTGGGTCCAAGTCGAGGGAGATGGGCGGCCCTGTGAACCAGCCGAGGGACCCATCGAAAACCTGCGAGAACTCATTGCATACGTCCATGAAATCTACCCACTGCAACTGGTGGAGCCCCCTGATGGCTTAAACCATGACATCCCTAGGAGGCTGGAAAGCCGGCCGCCCACCACTAGGATGTCCAGGTATCCCTTGAAGTCCTGGAATTCCACCATGAACTTGCCCCAGCCCCGCACAGCCACTGGATTCTTATTAAAATCCTGCAATTTAAAGTGTGGCGTGCACAGAGGGCCCCCCCTTGGGACACACTTTCCGCAGTGTCTCCTCCGAGATTATTGTAAACTTGGAGCCAGTATCAATCTCCATGCTACAGGGGGACCCCTCTATACGGACCGAAACGTGGACTTTGTTTCGGCCGTCCCGGGGCATTTCACCTACCTGGGGCTGGGGCTGGTGGGCAACGGCGTGGAGGTCAATGGAGTGCAGGTCCACGGTGTGGATCGGCTCTGCCTGGTGTGTCGTCTTCTTGCATTGCTATCGGTGGCTGCGGCAGACCATAGCGATGTGGCCCTGCCTGTTGCAGGCCCTGCAGATGGTGTCCCGGAAGCGACATGTCCGACGTTCATGCATTTCTC